ATTGGCAACCGCAGTTAGGCTTTGGTGATGTTTAAAGAGACGCTGCTGCCCATTCCGACATTACGACATCCACGGGAAAAGAAGGGGTGGCCTGTTCTATGTCGGAACTAGGTACGGGGACATGGCTATACCGTACATTGTTTTATCTCAAACGGTTTAGGCAGCATTTAGTCATAGTCGTAGAATACTGACTAATAATATATATATATATAGGTAATCTTTGTCATATCTAATCCGTCAGTATTCTACGACTATGACGATTTTCGACGAAAGTCAACGAAAAACTTTCAGTCGGCTTGATTTCTTCCGAATCCGTCGTATTTTAATAAATTAACACAAAACAATATAAAACTACACATATACACTTACTTCTTAAATCATTTATTGATGAAAACTATTTACATTATTTATTGATTAAAACTGTATAAAAATCCGTTGCGTAGTTTGAAAGATCTAAGCGTACAGACGGCGGGAAGCGATCGTTTTATACTATGTAGACATGTTGACTAGGATTGAATATTTATAACTTTATATAAAGTTATAAATATAAATATCTATATAGAACATTTTAGTAATAAAGTTATTTTAATAAAATACTTATTTAATAACGTGTTTATTGAATTGTTTATATATAATAGTATTACTGTAGGATTGGACGTTAAATGTCGACGCTTGACATTAGTGCACACCCACCGGTCGGGTCATTTGAATAATTTATTATAATCATATATATACATATATATATAGATCTACTATTATATACGTATGTCTATATAAGAACTACGTAGGAACATTAATTCCTATTTTAGACAGATAATTGATTTGATTACTTAATACGCTCCTATTTGGAATTTCCCGTGATTTTTTTTTTGTTGAAATACGGAAACGGTCGCTATATTTATGAGATTCTTTACACTTGTGCTCGTGTTATTTTTGTAAAATAACATTAAATTATAGAATAGAATAGAATAGAAATCATTTATTCAAATAAACTTACATTGAAGCACTTTTGAAAAGTCATTACATTTTTTTTAATTTACCGCTCGTTCGGAAAGCTGTCTCATCACAAGAAGAACGAGCAAGAAACTTGCGTGATGCTCTTTTAAATAATTTTATTATTATTTTACATTTTTAAGTTTAATTGTGTGAATACAAACCACCAATTAGCACTAATTCAATTAAATACTCAAAAAGAAAAAAAAATTGAATACATAACCAACTGGTTAAACAATTAATAAGAGGAAATCAGTCATAGTGATTAGAGCAGACCAGTCCCTACAAGCAGCACCCGTTCACGAGTATGACGGATGAGCCAGCCATCACTGCGCTCGACCATATTTTAGGGAGCCCAATGACCTGGCCCACCACGCCGCCACAAGTCTGGACATTTTAGTGAGCATGACTACTCAAAACACTAGACCACGTCAAAGCTACTCACAATTGCCATCTGATAGTTATAGTATTCACATTTTACATAAGAATGCATGCGGCAATTAATACAAAAAACCGCTACGCTTTCATATTTCTAAAATTAATCAATTAAATCAAGAAAGCAATGAGAAAATAAAATTATAACGTTGTATGCTAATAAACTAATTATTTACTTGATATGTTGTCATCTATGAATTCGTCTATCCTGTAATAGGCTTTCTTACATAAAAATTGTTTAATATAAGATTTGAATTGCCTCTCTGTCAGATTTAATGCAGATTCCGGCAGTTTATTATAAAATCTTATGCAATTACCATAGAATGAATTACTGATTTTGTGCAGACGGCATTTAGGTAAAATAAGCTTATTTATATTGCGTAAGTTTCTACTTGTACAGTCTTTGAGTTTTTTAAAACTCGCTAAGTTCTTCCGTGTATACATAATATTTTCATAAATGTATTGTGAAGTAACTGTGAGGATATTTGAGTCTTTAAAGCACTGACGTAATGACTCTCTTGAACCCATACCATAAATAGAACGTATGGCTCTCTATATTATACTACTATATTATATTTTTAAATAAAATAAAATAGTACAATTTTTCACGCATCCTGTATGCAATGTATTAGTATGTTTGTGAAAGAAAGAAATAAATAAATATTGTTATTCAAGTAAACTTAGATTTCAACATTTTTGAATAGTCATTTTTTCATTGCTGCCTATTCGGATTGTTATTTGAAAAGCAAGAAAAGTCTTGACCAAAAGCAAAACATTTAAAAAGTCCGTATATTTTCACAAATGAAAGTAAAAACTACACTCGCCGGTCGTTTTGTTACAATACATTTTTAACTTATAAAAGAATATTAAGAATTCATTCATTCATGACGTCAAAATGTTTCATTTCATTTAACCGACTTAAAAAATGATGACCACCTTTCTCTCAATTCGATTCTACTTAATTTTTTTGCGCGTTACTATATACTACAGACACTTCGGTGATTTTTTATGATCGAGGTGGATGACGAGTGTCGATTTTGATGTCTCTTTTTAAGCGACTTCCTAAAAGAGGAGAGTATTAATTTATTTATATTGTTTATAGTTAAACAGATTGTTTTAATTCTTTCTGTAATTGACAGGGTTTGTCTCGTGCTGGTTAACTAAAAAACTGCATTAAAATAACTGCAAAATCAAATTGTAAACATACAATTCCGCTTTCTATTCGTATATTAAATTATTTTCAATCTTATACGTCGACGAAGTTGTTACTTGAAAGTTTCGCAACAAATTTTGTCAAGATTGGAGTAAATTTTTTGTGGGAGTTTTAAATTATTCTGTACAATTGTAAAATGGCCAGTATGAAGCGAGCCGAAGGGCAGCTCCCCGGCGGAAATTACTCAACTCTCAGCTCTTGAGGGCAGGGCATTCGCACAAACATTGTAGCATGTACTCCTAGCCAGCCACCCGGGCGCCCGCGCTCGTGCCCTTCCTACCTACAACTACCCATCTAATTTCCGTTAGCGCCAACGTATACGACAATTGAAAGCAAAAAATTCTCAATTATAACACAGAGGTAAGCAAAATTGAGAATCCTTACAAGAAGGCAAGAGACTTTTGAGAACACCTTTACTTCCTTAATTGAAAAATATTTTTAGCATGATCGTAAATGTAATAAATAATCGAAACAAGTTAAAGCGTACAACACCACAAAAACAAAGATGATTTTATATATATTTTTGTCGTATTTAAAAATACTGGGTACAGAGGAATAACACCTGAGTCCTCAGGAATGGGAACACATAGGGGGAATCATGGGCGAAACAGTATACTCTGTTATGTCCATGGTACTGCTCGTGTCTATAGGCGACGGTTACCACTTTCCATCAGGTGGGCCGTCAGCTTGTTTGCCATTCTAAGTTGTATAAAAAAAACTCAACTATTATTATTAGTATTAAGTAAGTTAAGTAAGTAAGTTCGTAGTAATTTTTATATAATCTCACGGAAACGAGACGTTTTAGTTTTAAGGAATTATAGTTAGTATATTTTAATCTAAGAAATAAATTATCATCTATACCAAATTTTTAACACTATCTGTCTAGCAGGTTGTGCGTGCAAAGACACGGTCTAGTTACAGTTTTATTACATTTTTTTTTATACAACTTAGAATGGCAAACAAGCTGACGGCCCACCTGATGGAAAGTGGTAACCGTCGCCTATAGACATGAGCAGTACCATGGACGTAACAAAGTATACTCTCTCGCCCATGATACCCCCACGCGCATTCCTGAGGACTCAGGTGTTGTTTCTCTGTACCCTGTAAATTCACCGCCATATCCCACCCTTCAAACCGAAACACAGCCATGCAAACATAACTGCTTCACAGTAGAAACACGCATGGGACAGAGGTGTCCAAGCAAACGACTTCTGTACAAAGTCTCCGTCCGGATAATTGAAAGAATAAAGCAAAACAGACGAGAATCGACAACGTGACAAATAGTGTTTTATAAGTTTACCTACGCTTCTTGACTGGTTGGATCACTCGATAATATTTTATTTATTTATGGGTATTTTATGTCCATGGTCTAGACTTGTTCTATTTTTGGATGCATCGAAATCGGATCTATTGATATTTGTAATGTAGGTTTACTTATACGACACGACATTGATACGAGTATTAGTAAGGAAATTTTTTATCTTTAACTATTTAAATTTTATTCCATTATAATCAAATCTAATTAGTTATTTTATGTGTAATTAAATTAATTGACTGAAAAATACAATAAATTTATATGTAATTATTATAGCTGCATATGTAAAGGCTAAACTAAACTATTAAAGTTCCTTTTTATATTTCTTAATAGAAACGTCTATAGTAAAGGTTAATTATAAAATAAATCGACATATCAGAGAAGTATGTAATCATATCGAACCTAGATTTTGTTATTATTGCCTTGGATTTTATAAATATACAATCATTTTAAGCATATTAAATACTGTTAAAATATATTTTTAATAAAAAACAGAGATGGTTTTAAGCTTAATTTTAAGCATTTTTTATAACTATCATTCAATTTAGAAAAACATTTCTTTAGAAAAACTCAAAAAATTTGGGGAGATTAATTTTACTATGAGTGGATTTGTGATCCATTGCAATATGCAATAGTATTTTAATGAAATAGAAGTAGCTAGAAGTTTCTATATGCCTTTATAGCCTATAATTTTACTGCGAGCGAATCGATTTCCTAACGTATTGCAGTGGGATGGAAGAACCAATAAATTATAAGCAGATGTATTATTAATTCCATTCTTTACGGTAGTTTATGCTCAGCAGTGGACAAACAACGGGGTTTTATGGGCGACACTATAGAGGTGTCCCTCTCGTGTTAGCGTTTTACACTGGTGAGGTACTGGTGAGAGATCATTAAGTGAGAACGAAGTTATGTGAATTAGTCTATTGTGGCAAATTTATTAACAATTACCGGTTAAACTGATGGTCTTTTTGTCTTGTTTTATTTTTAAAATATACCAGATGTCGCTAAGCTACTCTATGTGAGAGGAAAGCATAGACTGACCTGTGTTAGGTGCGGTGTACAAGTGATGCCTGGCGGCGGGTGCAGGCGCTAGCAGCCCGTGCAGCAGCGCTTGGCCGAGGGAGCCGCGCGCGCCCAACCTCAGCCCTGCCGGCTCACCGCCGTCCACTGTAACAATACATAGCATTTAAATAAATAACGTGATAAAGTATTCACTTCTAAACTAATATTATTGAGAGAAAAGATCGATTTAACAAATTCTTAGAAGCTTATCTAATTTATCTTTCTACTTGTTTACCCATGTGACGCCGGAGTGAGTCGCTAGTACTGAATACTGTTGTATTAAGTAAACATTCTGTAGAAAGAATAGGCAGAGATCAAAGTACATGAAGTTTAAATTCCTGGCAAATTTAATTTAATGAAATTGTAAGGGCACATTGAAATCGTTTTGCATGGTTAATGAAGGAAATATAAAGTATTATGTGGCTATGTGACGGATGGGAGATAAGATACAATAAAGATATAATATGGAGTTAATTTTAAAATAGTTTATCGTATTACATATATCGAAGGTGACACAAAGGGGAGACATAGTGTAAACTTAATCGAGAAACTGGAAGATATACTGCGAATTTGGTCCCTACAATATCCACGTTCACCAAATAACATTTAAGCGGCCACGTCCCCGTGAAGTTGGCGGACGGCATCTTAATCTTGATCTATGGAACCTAAAATCTTTAGAGCCAAAAGCTTCATGTAGACACTAAGGTTAACGTCGATAGACGTCGTTTATCAAATCCTTCTTTATATAAGTTACAGATTACAATGTTAAAGTGGTCCCGACAGGCACACTGTTCAGTTCAGACGGTAATTATTCTCTGGACCTAGTTGTCTGGTGCTCGAGCGAGTCTTTTGTAGTCATTAGTGAAGACGAGTACATGGGTCAGACGTTCGCTACGATGGTTTCCTTAGGCTCCCAATTTTATGATTTTGTTACTGTGGACTGTCTATTTGCCTAGATTTTACAAAAGCTATTTGTTGATAGCAAACGGCAGGAAGATCGTTTAATCCTCTATACTTTTTTCGACATCAACTTTGTGCAGGAACTTTGAATGGAGATTTGTCATCGATTACAATCTGCAGAGTCTAATGTAGGATAAAAAATTAGTACATGCTGTTATATCTATTTATTTATTTATTCTTTATTGTACATAAAACATTTGAATTTATTTGAAATTTGTGGCACCACGTCTAGCAAAATCCGAGAAATACATCACGTCTGGAGCACAATAAGACATGCAAATAGGTTGTGAGCTTATCAGTCCACAGCGATCACCTTCATTATTCCATATGCTTGGGAAGTATACATTATGTAGAGCGGGACATCTTGCAATTGTGCTTCGTGCAAATTTAATTAAACAGTAAGGCATTGCCGATTTACCGGCAGATCGATAATGTATAATTTATAATCTTAATACACTCGAGCCAGACGCTTCCGTGCTCTGACCTTGGAGCCACCCGCACCCTCCTGAATAATTCAGCGAGCCACCTGTTGTCTCCCTCTGACGTGGGCCGGACTGCGCATGTTTGACGCATAGAAAGGGATGGAGGGTTCCCCGTCGCTTTCCAGGTTGAAGTGTCTAGACGGTGAACTTTTTACGGCTCGGAACACATGTGAGAGAGAATATCGTCTGATAGCTGCTATCACGGGACCTTATGTAAATTACTTTCGCTTTTCGTGATTGCGGCGATAGGTTGGCGCACGCGAGCCGACATCGGCGCAGCAAAGGTTTCAGGTCGAGCTACACTTCGCTCGGGACGTCGAAATGAGCTGCTTCGGACCGCAAAGCTAATATCCACGGGGAATACAAAGCGCTGGATTTCGAGTTACCCTTACATTTGTTGTTGAACGAGTTTGATGTCTTGAAATATGTTCTCTTCAATGTAAACGGAATGTCTAAGTAGGCTGATAGAAAATAAAAGAGCTCTTCGCTGTTCTCTGTGAATAAATAATTTGCGATAACTAAAGGGAGTTTTAGAATTAGTTTGGTCGTATGTGGATACTGTAGATTTTTATTCACCGACCTCATTTCGTTCGGAATCCCCGCAGAATGCTCGCATATTGAGAATTTCAATACGAATAGCTAGTATTGGAAACAACAATTCTTTCATCTAGAAGATTAGGTGTGTAACGGGAATCGGGGCGAGAGTGGATTAGGTAGGAGCTGCGAAGCTCTAAAGGCTGCATAAGGAGTAGTACAGACATGCACAACACTTGAGAAACGTGATGAAAATATACATGTTCTTATTGTCAATATTGGGATGTAAAAATGGTATTATGTTTCTTTACACCAGATCCCTTACGAAGGACTTTGTGCTAAAATTTCTTTTGTTACATTTTTATAACTCGGCTTCTGTATGCATATTGTTACTAGAAAAGATACGACATTCAAATTCTAAGCATTCTCAGACAGCATATGAAAACTCTGATCGTGTGAAGTCACTCTAGGTCTTGTCTGATACTGTAAATTCTATTCCCATATGTGTTATATTTCTGTTCTTCTGTTATGTTGTTTCTATATACTCAAATGAATGCAGCATACGGACTAATTAAAACAAACATACTGTTGCTGTACATTACAAATGTAAAATTGTAAAATGTAATTATTTATTTCATAACATTTGAACAAAAATATTTCTAATTGATTTACATTGTTATTATGCGTAATTGTCAATTGTCAATGTTTTTTTTATTATATGCGATTAGAAATGGCAAATAAACAGTCCTCAAAGTTAATTTGGAAGGAAAAGTACAAAAAATATTGAAAATTTGTGACTTATGTCTTTCGTCTTAGCTGAGCAGTTACCACCGACTATGTTACATCAGGGATGAAACACGTAAAGTTTAAATATGTATATATTTGATTTTTCGCCTTTTTCTACAATGTTTCTTATTTTATATTTAAATTTTGCCACCGTCGCACTTGTGAGCGCAGCTTTATCGCGTCAAACGGATGCACTTCGGATGTGAGCTTGCATTATTCAGTAGAATCTAGGAAGGCGTTGCATGCAAACTGTTTTTGCTATTGCTTTTTAGGGGTCGTCGAACTGCAGCGCAGCAGTATAAAATACCTACAATACTGTACTGCATTCAATTCGTATTTGTATAGTTAGGATATCGAGTAATATCGTAAATGCTTATGTTCGCACTGTACAACCGTTTCACAATGTGCCACGGCAAAATGTGTTCTCTGTTATTTTAATAAATACTTTATTTATTTAACATTATCAAAAGAGAGCTATATTGTTTATAAAACACCAGTACGTATCTTTAGGTTAACTAGCTAGGGAATTCTTTTTGAAGTTAATGAAAACACATGTAATAGACTGTCTGATCCAGACCGTATCTGAACTAGGTCTAGATTATTCTAACATCATACATTTATGTTCAAAGAAAACAAATAGGTATGTATAAGATCAAAGGAATACATCGTAGTACATAAATAAAATAAATAAATACATATGTTTACGACTATAGTACACAATGTCTACGGGTATCAGAGTCTGAAATGGATAATTATCAGTTTCTTAATTGTATTTAACACATTAAATAACTTTAAAGTGGTCTCATATTTATATTTTTATATATCATCATATCAGCCCTTAACTGTCCACTGCTGAACATAAGCCTCCCCTAGGGGGGCATTGCCAATAGTTGGCATGCTTGACGGACGGATTGGCAACCGTAGTTAGGCTTTGGAGATGTTTTAAGATGGACACTGCTGCCCGTCCCTTGACATCTCTTAGTCGCCTCTTACGACACCCACGGAAAAGGAAAGAGTGGTCTATTCTGTGCTGGGACCACATAGGACTATTTTTAAACATAGTTAGGCGATAAACAATGTCGAATTACTACTAAATGCTTATTTGTTGTAAAAGATACGATTTACTAATCTGTAGTTTTCTTTGAATTACATATTCTTCGTTACTAATTTATAAGAGGAAAATGGGGGGCGTAATAAAAAAAAATAGTTAAAATATATTAATATAACTACTTATAATTTTAATTTTTAAAAACTTTCCTTTTAATTATGTTTTTGAAATAAAGTGACTGTTATATTTCGTTGTTACAAGTAAATTGGATAAAAAAAACATTGGCCTTATTATAATGGGAAATGGGTACGTTCCGTTGGTTTTTACGATAACCGTGAGGCGGACGTAGTACCCGGTAGCGTTTCAGGCAATCGATACGGTGGAAAAGCAGGCCGTTCGATACAATAAGCACTACTTCCTATCGCCTCACAATAGGGTTTCGCGTCCAATGTCTACCGCAGGTAGCGCCTTCAATCTGGTGCCCTTATTTCGATGGTCTCAGTAATCGATACGATGACAATTAATTTTACGAGATCTTTTAACGGAGCTCTTCAATTTGTCTGTATTTTTTTGTATGTTACGCGATACTTTTGCCATTCTCTGAATAGATTTTGTTTTTTAATTATTTTCGAAATAGGCGAGGTTTATTTAATTTAGTAAAGAATGAAGCCGCTATTTTTCTTTTGCGTAAAAAAATCCTGTTTTATTTCTTTATTTCTATTTATATAATACTTTATTGTACACGTTAGTAACACTTAAAAATATGACAGAGGTAATCAAATGTACAAGGGCGAGCTTAACTCTAATAGAGTTCTCTTTCAGCAACACCCAAAGTTTATTTTTTGCAAATTTACTTGTATTATTTAGATACATGTATAATTTCGCGTTCAAATACTTTCTGTTGACTCTTCTGTGTTTTTACAGAGGAAAATGTATTGGTTGAATCATACATTCAGTTACCAAATAAAGTTATGTACAATCATAAATATATTTGGTAAATGAATTATTATGTGTAACTAAAGTATTTACGTGGTATAAATGAATATCTATTGTGTAGGTATACCTTGTACAAAGCTGTATCGTAAAACGCGCAACTAATACTATTTGTCGAGCACAGCACTGAAAGTGAGAGTGTCAAACTTCAGCAGCAAGCAGTGCGCTTTCATACTGGCTGGATTTAATTAAAATTAGCCGAGATAATTGCTGGAGCCACAGCGGACGCTTTGTGCATACAGCTCGAGATACAAACTACTTTTACTTTCCTACCCTGAAATATTAACATTCATAAGTTATGC